TACAAAGTACTCCAGCAATCAATATCCCAGTTCCTCATGGCTGACAGTTGTCACCCCAACATCCAATGAATTCAATTGCTAAATCCTCACCAGTCACCACTCAGTGTATGGTTACTTCAGCATCTTGGATGCCAACAGGTCTACCTCTATTAGGCTGATAGAGCAACACTCCAGTCCTCTCGCACCCAAGACACCACTCTATCACCTAATGCCCCACCAGCCCAGTAGGCCTACACCTGATTTTCTGAGCCCTGAAAGTCCACCTAGCCATGCCCCATGCTTGTCCACCCTCAGCTGTAGTTGAGTTCTGAGGGTGCAATCAGTGGCCTGGATCTGCCTGCCCCCATAGGTGGGAGGACCGTCCTGACTTCCTGACCGTGGAGCAGCGCATGCGGGTCTACTACTACAGCTTGGCGAGCAAGCCTGAGGGGCTCGAGGCATGTGGACAGGGGGCCGAGGCTGCTTGTGCCTGAACTCCAGCCTGCCCCAAGGCCTGCAGACCCCTGCCTTGGACCTCCATACCCCAGCTATATCCTCTCTGCCTGCCCCTAGCTTCATCCCAGGACTGCCAGTCTGGCCAGAGCTGGCTCAGTTCCTCTCCCTCCCCCGAGCTGGGTAAGGGGGCATCTGAGCCTCAGGTCCACAGCACTCTAATATTCCCCAGCTGGCCATCACCTCTCTGACTGGGGGAGGGGGGATTTGCAAGGAGGGAAGCCCCTGGAGTGTGAGGCTGTGCAGCTTGGTCTTGGGTTGGTATTTATTGGAGGGGCTTTCTGGAGCTGACACCAAGGACCCTTCTCCTTCTGAGCTGTGAAGGGGAATACTCAGAGTTCTCAGGCAGCAAGTCTTTAGTCATTGCAATAAATTCAACTTTTCTCTGGTTGGAGCTCTCTCCTCTTTTCTGGGGTGAGGGTGGGAGCTGGGAAAGGGAGGTGGATCATTGGGAGGGGCCAATGAGAAGAAATGCCTGAACTTGGCTTCTCTTTTGTAGATCAAGCCTAGATGTGGTCGATGGGAGGATGGGGCTGGTGTCCTCACTTCTCCATCCTGGAATCATCTTCATGTTCAGTGAGGGCCTGGGGCAGAGTGGCAAATACTGCATCCTCAGGGAAGAAGTCCCTGATCCTTTTCCCCACCCCAGGCAGGGCCAATAGAGCATAGACTGGCTGAGTTCAAATCCTGACTCCATCACTCATCTACTTTTTTACCTTGGGCCAATTACTTGATCTCTGTGCCTCAGATGGGTGGGTGAGGTGGTCAAGGGACTGTGTGCACTGCTGGCCTCAGCATCCCTTCCTGTGCGAATTGCATGAGATGGGTGGTTCTCCACATTGGCTGAACAGTAGAATCACCCATAAAGCTTTTAACAAATGCTAACTCCCCACCTCCCAACCAAGTGAAATACATTGGTGCATTTTAAAGGCTCTTCAGGTGATTCTGTCACCTAGACCTCCACTTGACCAGTCCCATCTTCCTCTCTGGGCCCAGACAGTCACTGATGGCATCTTCATCACTCCGTGCCCCAAATACCTCCTCAGTCACACTCAGAAGAGTAGTCTCCAAGCTCATGCTGCTTTCATTTCCACATGTGGAAAATTGGGGTGCTTGAGTGCAGAACCCAACAGGTTTGGGGAAATGGAGCTAGGGAACCTATACATAGGCAAAGAGACTGTCATTCAAACAGAACAAGGGGATACTGTATGGTTTAAAATCAGGAAACGTGTGTCAAACTTGTATCTTTTTATCATACTTATTCAATCTGTACGCTGAGCAAATAATCCAAGAAACTAGACTATATGTAGCAGGATGAGGCATCAGGACCGGAGGAAGACTGATTAACAACCTGCTATATGCAGATGATACAGCCTTGTTGGTGAAAGTGAGGAGGACTTGAAGCACTTACTGCTGAAGATCAAAAACTACAGTCTTCAGTATGTGTTACACCTCAACATAAAACAGAAAACCCTTACAACTAGACAAATAAGCAGCATCATGATGAGAGAAAAGGCTGAAGTTGTCAGGGATTTCGTTATACTTGGTCCACAATTGATGCTCACATTAGCAGCAGTCAAGAAATCAAACAACGTATTCCATTGGGCAAATCTTCTGCAAAAGACCTCTTTAGTGTTAAAGAGCAAAGACGTCACTTTGAAGACTAAGGTGTGCCTGACTACTATCAATGTGGTACTATCAATTGCCTCATATGCATGCACAAGCTGGACATTGGCTAAAGAAGACCCAAGAAGAATTGATGCCTTTGAATTATGGTGTTGGTGAAGAATATGGAAAGTACCCTGGACTGCCAGAAGAACAAACAAATCTGTCCTGGAAGAAGTAAAGCCAGAATGCTCCTTGGAAGTGAGAGTGGCCAGACTTCATCTCACCTACTTTGGTCATATGGTCAGAAGGGACCAGTCCCTGGAGAAAGATATCGTACTTGATGAAGTAGAGGGTCAACAAAAAAGGGGAAGACCCTCAATGAGGTGGATTGACACAGTGATGGGCTCAATCATAGCAATGACCGTGAGGGTGGCGCAGGACTGGGCAGTGTTTTGTTCTGTTCTGCGTAGGGTCACTGTGAGTTGGAACCAACTTGACGGCATCTAACAAAAATCAATGGTACGATGCAGTGATTACCCAAATTATATTGTTTTCAGATATTTTAGTTTTATTAAACTTTGCTTATTAGTTACTGGACAATTATTTACATTATTATATACAAAATGTCAGACAATAAACAAGTCTTCACCTCATTTTTTATGGCCATTATTATTTGTTTCATTTTATGATGATTGCTAACAATAATTTTATTTTCTAGCAAAGAGGTATTTAAAAAAAAAAACATTCTGGGTGTCAACTGGGAATGCCGATCAACTGGCAATAAATGTCTGTTGAATGAGTAGGCTATTAACTTAAACAGGCTATTAACCTAAAGTTGGTGGTTTGACTCAGTGGCGTTGTGGAAGAAAGATTACAGCCAAGAAAAGCCCGATGCATCAGTTCTACTCTGAAACACATGATGAGAACGCCATGAGTCAAATTGACTACACATCAGTTTTTTTTTTTTTTTAAATGAAGGCAGGAGGATGTAGTTCCAAAAGATGACCACAAGGTGTCGCTGTTTCAAAAATAGGCTAGCTCTGTTTCTCAAACAGGGCTCTAGCTACCTCTCTTGCCTGGAGCATTGGCCCAGACTCCTCTCGGTCTCCAGCCCCTTGTCCTATTCCCTGCAATTTATTCATCCCAGAACTACATGTGGGATCTTTGCTACAAGAGGCTCTGATCAAATTCTTACATTTCCTTCCATAGTTCTTCAAACCTATCCTTGTTGACCTTACTTCATGGTCAGCCTTTGCCTGGAGCTACAGAGAGTATTTGACAAGGGGGAGTATCCAGGGATGTAAGGGGGTGGGGTGGATGGGTATCTGAGGGCGGCGGGGTGTGTCGGCACCTGGAAGAGATACCCACCCTGCTGGAGTGGGGGCAGGACCAGCTGGGTCCTGGCCCTTTGTGGACACAGGGCTCCTCTGAGCTTCCTCCCTGCCTGGCTATGTGGTGGCTGTAGTGTGCTTTCCAGGCTCCTCTTGACTTCCTGGTCTCCAGCTGGGCTTGTGGGCTGGGGCGGGATGAACCAATGGCTTCCTGCCTCTCCCTGGACCTGGAGAGGAGCAGAAGGGAAAGGGCCTCCCCACAGCCTCATTTATTCCTTGAAATCTGACTCTAAAGGTGGTTTCACTGGAGTTTTCCTTATGTCTGGGGCCTCTGGACTCCATCAAGCTTCTTGAGCCCCACGAGACTGTAGCCTCTTCAGATCCCCATCTCCGCCCCCTCCACCCACCACCAA